GTGCCATTAAGTGGTGGACAAACATGTCATCGTATAGTGGACATGCTCCTGGCCCCGACTGTGGGCGACTGCACGAACGACTGCGAAGCGGCACGCGCGCAGGGTCTGAGAATAGAGATTGGAGAATGCATCCGTACTTGGTGCGAGCCAGAAGCAACTCCAGCGACCAAATCCGAAGAGCCGGAGGGAAACAGGGGAGGGGGAGGGGAGGGAGGGGGAGGGGAGGGGGGAGAGCTCGAGGGAGAGAAGGAGAAGGATGAATCTGGGATCTAGATTTTTGTTGGCGTTTGGTATTCTGAGGCCTCCAGGGGCCTCCGGATGCCTCCAGAGGCATCCAGGGACCTCCAGTTCTCTTTTTTGCATTGCTCGGACCAGGATTGTCAAGAACCGTAGCGTCTGAAGTCCTTCTCCTCCTCGTCCTCGTACTCCTCATGTCCCCCTCACGTTCCTCCTGCTGTTGCCCCTCCTCTTCTAGAGGGGAGGGAGAGGGAGAAGTAAGGGCGATGTGTAAGATCATGTCACGCACTTCATGTCCTCCTCGAACGGGATCTCTGTAAGCGGCAGTCTCGTCATTGTCGTCAACATCATCGTCATAATCTTCGACCTCATCACCGTCGCTGTAATCATCATCCCAGCCGTTCTGGCGCTGGATCAGGGCAGCCAGCAAGGGACCCGCGCCTCATCAGAGCGGCCCGCGCGAGGCGGCCAACCGAACCCCCTCCGTACTACGTGGACGAGTGAGCCGTGCGCCGCGGAGGCGTGAGCGCCGTCGGGAACCGAGGAGCCACCTGCGCGCCACTGGCCAGGCCCGGCCTGACCCCGTGAAGCGTTCGCAGCTGCGCGCGGGGTGCGGAAGGCGGCGGACCTGCACTCGGAGGCAGTCCGCCCGTAGATGCCTCCCAAAAGGGGTCCGAGTGGACGGGGCCAGAGGATCGCGCCGCATGGCCGATGCATCGCCGATGCATCGCCGAATTCACCAGCGATGTTTATGGGCGACGTCGGCGTGGAGAAAAAATCGGACTCCGCATCAAGCCGTCTCGCCGATGCATCGGCGATGCAACGCGATCCTTCGAGCCAGCTACTCTGACCCACTCAGGGCGGCCTTAGAGCCTCTGCCAGGACCTGATCTCCGGGAGCTGGCCGAGCTGGTGCCGAAGGCCCAGGGGGGGGAGGCTGTCGAGAGGAATGGCAGGATGGAGCCGCTGCCGCGCTGGAGCCGCTGCCCCCCAGCCGTGGGAGGAACGAAGCGGCCTTTGGCAGGGGCGACGAGCGCAGGCCCTCAGGCCGGAAGAGGGAGAGCGAGGCTGACCGATCTGCTCGGAGGGTTGTGGGGTGCGAAGAGCTCCCCTGAACTCGCCATCGCTTGGACGTCCATTCCCTGTGCATCGTTTGGCTCCGTTCTCCAGATGAACCAAGATGCGCCGAGATGGTCCAGATTTTCTGGCGCCAGCCTCGCCGAAAAAGGTGCACACGTTCCAGCGATGCCGAACGGAGTCGCCCGCACCGGGAAACCGCAGCTCGTACTCGTCTCGTGCACTACGTCAGCGCGAGGCTGTGGGCGAGTTCCACAAGTGGCCGCCACCGCGGGCGGAGGGCAAAAATTCTGCTGCTTCTCATGCTCCTCTTGCGTCGGCGGACGGCGGGCGCGGTGTCTCGCCGGTGTCCCGGCGGTGTCCCCACGGTGCCCCGAATCAGAGCAACAAGACATGGCAGTGCGAACAAGAAATGCAAGAGCAGTTTGCACTGACGGCAGCAACGGCCATGATGCAGATGGTGGAGTTGTGCGGAGACGTGAGCATAAATTGAAACTGCGACACCAGAAAGAATAGCATATCATGAATGAGCCTCAGTATTCTCTATATGCGGGAGAAGTGCAAAGAAATATGAGACTCAGAGCACGACCGAGTCACACGAAGAGTACGATGAGTAGTAGTTCAATTGGACGACATGTGGAACTGACGCAAACCCCAGATCCCCAACCCCAACCTCCTGATCGACCTACAGGAATGCCTAACATTAGCTCGGTACTTGCAGGCTGACCCAACTTCAACACATCGCACACTACTGCGACTGCCGTGGGTCGTTTTACATGAGCCTCACTCACGTGACAGGCACGTCTAACTTGTCGTCAGCGTTCTGCGTCTAAACCTGGGTCTTACACATTCGTTCGGTATCATTGCATGGAGAGTATCAACCCGCATGCGCTTACACTGGCCTGAGACAAGGATCGCTGCAGCATATTTTGCCTCAGCTAGACTCGCGTGAGCTCGACCATAAGTTGAAATACCTCCACTAGCCTCAACGTACCGTAGCTCAGCGGAGCCTGGCCCTACATGGTGCCTGCAATTTCAGCTCGGACTCCACATCTAATGATTCAACAAATTCACTCCCGTCTCTCCCTTCTCTCTTGTCCCGTATCGCCTGTCGAGTGCCGCGACGCTGAGAGACGCGCCGCTCAGCATGCCTCGCCGGGCGGTATACAAGTGGCCATCACAGACAAGCAAGTCCGAATCCCTACGTCATTGGACAGAAAACGAAAGCACACCACCCCACCTATGCACATCCACAGAGTAGAGCATACCGCCACATAAACGCCAAGACAGTGACCGCAAGCGCGAAAGCTTCCATACCCACAGGAAGGATCGCAGGTAATGTAGCATGGGTGAGTCTCTTCTTCGGCTGACCAAGAAGGAACCAATCCGAAGTGGGTGCGACGGGCGCATGCGAACGCAGCCACTGGGGCCCCCTATGGGGCCACGGAAGGTGTGAGGGGTGTGCCGAAATAGACGCGGCGGGCGCATGCGAACGTAGCCACTGGGGAATCGGTGAAGCTCTCTTTGGGGCCACGAAACGTGCGAGGGGTGCGCCGAAATGGGCGCGGCGGGCGCATGCGAACGCAGCCACTGGGGCCTTCGGCGGAGCTCCCTGTGGGGCCACGAAACGTGTGAGCGGTGTGCCGAGATGGTTGACTGGTGCGGGAGGCAGAGGCAAGGAGGGGCGCGGGGCGCTGTCTCTTCAACACGAGGACCCAACACCACAGGATGGTTGGGAAAACTAACATTACATACGGCTTGCGGTGTTGGCCGAGTAACCTTCCCCTGTCTGACTTTCAACTTGTTGGTTCAATATGGGACCAAAAACTACTTCACCCAAAACCATGTAACTCATCGCACGAGATGCGCCTTCGCGCCAAGTAGGTACTACTCCACCTACTCCGCGAAGTCGCAGCAATTGCGATTCAATATTGCAGACACGTCACGGCGATGTAGTTAGTGACCCAGCTAGCGTTCATTTCAAATCCTTTACCTGTGCTATCGCAACCCAATCCGAAAGTGGTGCCAAAATCAAAAACCTAAACAGACAGTTCCACAGCACCTGCCACCTCCACCCCCGCCGCCACCAGAATCACGCGGCAGAGCAAATACCGACTTCCAGTAGGTGAAGATTCCGAGTCGATGGGGCAGGGTTGCATTCGTGCACCAGCTACGCTGCATTTACCAGAAAGGAATCGTGTCCAGATTCCCCAAAGAGTGTTTACACTTATGGCTTCTTACATGTATCCCTGGGGAATTGGTTGGGTCCGGCGAAAATGTTCAACGTTGCCGCGGCGTTGCCGCCACTTTGCCGCCTCGTGCGCTGCGTGCGTTTCACCACGAAACCGCCGACCGTTGCCGCCTCGTTGCCACCTCGTGCGCTGGGTGGGTCCAGCGAGGCTTCGCCGGATGGCCGCAAGTTGCCGCCTCGTTGCCGCCTCGCGCGCTGGGTGGATCCAGCGAGCTTTCGCCACGTTGCCGCCTGTTGCTGCATCGTTGCCGCATCGTGCGCAAGGTGGGTCCAGCAACGTTGCCGCCCGTTGCCGCCTCGTTGCCGTTTCGTGCGCTGGGTGGGTCCAGCGAGGTTTCGCCACATGGCCGCCCGTTGCCGCCTCGTTGCCGCCTCGCGCGCTGGGTGTATCCAGCGAGCTTTCGCCACGTTGCCGCCCGTTGCCACCTCGTTGCCGCCTTGTGCGCTGGATGGGTGTGGTGAGAATTCGACACCTTCCGCCCGTTGCCGCCTCGTACCGCCTCGTGCGCTGAGTGGGTCCAACGATCGCCACGTTGCCGCCCGTTGCCACCTCGTTGCCGCCTCGTGCACTGGGTGGATCTGACGAGATTCCCAACGTTGCCGCACGTTTCCTCCTCGTTGCCGCCTCGTGCGCTGAGTGGGTCCAGCGAGGCTTCGCCACGTTGCCGCCCGTTGCCGCATCGTTGCCGCCTCGTGCGCTGGGTGGACCCATCGAGGTATCGCCACGTTGCCCCCCGTTGCCGCATCGTTGCCGCCTCGTGCGCTGGATGGGTCCAGCGGGGTTTCGCCACGTTGCCGATCGTTGCCGCCTCGCTGCCGTCTCGTGCGCTGGGTGTATCCAGCGAGCTTTCGCCACGTTGCCGCCCGTTGCCGCCCTGTTGCCGCCTTGTGGCGAAGTTTCGCCACGCTGCCGCCTGCTGCCGCCCCCGTGCCGCCTCCAACGTGCACCTAGATTCTCCATTCCAGAAAATGGTTCCCCCCAGGGTCATCGGGCCCTTTTGGGGTATAGTTTTTCCCATATGGATTTACGCACGATCGCCCATCCTAAATTTCAAAGAGCACGTAGCACCCCGCAGATGCGGATAAGAGTGAAGGGGCGGTGGGAACGTCGGCAGTCTGCGAGACTCTGGAGAAGCCCGCCGCAGACACCAAAGTTTCACATATTATACAACGAGCCCGCCGCAGGCGCCGATTTACCAATGTGGGTAGGTCGCGGGTCGGTCGCAAATGGATCGCAGGTGGGTCGCGGGTGGGTCGCGGGGTGGGTCGCGGGTGGGTCGCGGGTGGGTCGCGGGTGGGTCGCGGGTGGGTCGCAAGTGGGTCGCGGGTGGGTCGCAGGTGGGTCGCGGGGTGGGTCGCGGGGTGGGTCGCGGATGGGTCGCGGGGTGGGTCGCGGGTGGGTCGCGTGTTGGGTCGCGGGTGGGTCGCGGGTTGGGTCGCGGGTGGGTCGCGGGGTGGGTCGCGGGGTGAGTCGCGGGGTGGGTCGCGGGGTGGGTCGCAGGGTGGGTCGCGGGTGGGTCGCGGGTGGGACGACGACGACAACGAACCAACCAACCAAACAAACAAACAAATACAAACAACAACAACAACAACAACAACAACAACAACAAGGAAAAGGCGTGCGTGAGAGCCCCGTCCGCTCTAGCCGTCCGGACACGCCCTCGCCTTATTGCGAAGGCTGCGCTCAGAGCCCCGTGGACGCATTCTGCCCCCCCCCAGCAACAGCAACAGCAACAGCAACCAGCAACCCCCCCCCAAAAAAACTGAAACTCCCTTGGACTCCCTTACGGACCTTGACGTGGTCCTATGGGTGAAAAACGTATGCGTGCCGGCGTGCCGCCGCTTCAATACAGACTGTACGGGATCCTGTAGAGATCAGATACAGACTGTATAGGATTCTACACAGATCCGATACAGACTGTATGGGAACCTATACAGATCCGATACAGACTGTATGGGATCCTATACATATCCGATACAGACTGTATGGGATCCTATACAGATCCGATACAGACTGTATAGGATCCTACACAGATCCGATAAACACTGTATAGGATTCTACACAGATCCGATACAGACTGTATAGGGTCCTACACTGATCCGATACAGACTGTTTGGGATCTTTTAGAGATCCGATACAGACTGTATAGGATCCTATACAGATCCGATCTAGACTGTATGGGATCCTATACAGATCCGACACAGACTGTATGGAATCCTGTACAGATCCGATACAGACTGTAGAGGATCCTGTAGAGATCCGATACAGACTGTATAGGATTCTACACAGATCCGATACAGACTGTATAGGATCCTATACAGATCCGATCTAGACTGTATGGGATCCTCTCGAGATCCGAAACAGACTGTATGGAATCCTGTACAGATCCGAGACAGACTGTATGGGATCCTATAGAGATCCGATACAGACTGTATGGGATCCTGTAGGGATCCGATACAGACGGTATAGGGTCCTATAGAAATCCGACACAGACTGTATGGGATCCTGTAGAGATCCGATACAGACTGTATAGGATCCTGAACAGATCCGATACAGACTGTATGGGATCCTGTAGAGATCCCATACAGACTGTACAGGATACAGACTGTATAGGATCCTATACAGATCCGATACAGACTGTATGGGATCCTATACATATCCGATACAGACAGTAGAGGATCCTGTAGATATCCGATACAGACTGTATGGGATCCTATAGAGATCCGATACAGACTGTATAGGGTCCTACAGAGACCCGATACAGACTACATGGGATCCTACACAGATCCGATACAGACTGTATGGGACCCTATACCGATCCGATACAAACTGTATAGGATCCTATACAGATCCGATACAGATTGTAGAGGATACTGTAGAGACCCGATAAAGACTGTACGGGATCCTGTAGAGATCCGATACAGACTGTATGGGATCATGTAGGGACCCCATACAGACTGAATAGGATGCTATACAGATCCGATACAGACTGCACAGGATCCTATGGAGATCCCATACAGACTGTATGGGACTCTGTAGAGATCCGATACAGACTGTATGCGATCCTGTAGAGATCCGACACAGACTGTATGGGATCCTATACAGATCCGGTACAGACTGTATGGGATCCTACACAGATCCAATACAGACAGCATGGGATCATGTAGAGATCCGATACAGACTGTATAGGATCCTATACAGATCCGATACAGACTGGATGGGATCCTGTAGAGATAAGATACTGACTGCATGGAATCCTGTAGAGATCCGATACAGACTGTATAGGACCCTATACAGATCCAATACAGACTGTATGAGATCCTATACAGATCCGACACAGACTGGATGGGTCCCTGTAGAGATCCGATACAGACTGCATGCGATCCTGTAGAGATCCGACACAGACTGTATAGGATCCTACACAGATCCGATACAGACTGTATAGGACCCTATACAGATCCGATACAGACTGTATGGGAACCTGTAGAGATCCGATACAGACTGTATAGGGTCCTATGCGGATCCGATACAGACTGCATGGGATCCTGTAAATCCGATACAGACTGTATGGGACCCTGTAGATCCGAAACAGACTGTATGGGATCATGTAGAGACCCCATACAAACTGAATAAGATCCTATAGAGATCCGATACCGACTGCATAGGGTCCTATAGAAATCCGATACAGACTGTAGAGGATCCTACACAGATCCGATACAGACTGTATGGGGTTCTGTGGAGATCCCATACATACTGTATAGGACCCTATACAAAGCCGATACAGACTGTATGTGATCATGTAGAGATCCGATACATACTGTATAGGGTCCTATACATATCCGATACAAACTGTATGTGATCCTGTAGAAATAAGATACCGACTGCATGGAATCCTGCAG